TGGGTAAATTGGGCTGAATGGCTCCTGCTCACTGAGAGCCCAAAGGGGTTTGCAGGAAACAAGTTTTCTCTCTTGTAGGTGACACAAGGGATCCTGGGCCCAGGTGGGGGCAGAATCACCCATATATGTCACCCTGGCTGTCACTCCTCTCCCAGGTTCCAGTGCAGACACTTCTCAGTATCACCATCCTCAGCATTCCCACACCCCACATGCCCATGCTGAACAAGCTCTGCCTGTACCAACCCAGCACCTCTGAGATGTACCTGCAAGAGGCTCCGGTTCCGTCCCTGCTCACCGAGGGCTGTGGGGTGGGAAGATCCCAGTTTGGGGCATGGCTGGCAGCACAATCACAGCGCAGCGCTCGGGATCTCCTCACTGCTTGGTTCTGCGTGGCGTGGCACCTTGGTTCTACGTGTCCTGTGGCTGTGCGGAAGGAACAGATCCTCAAGTGCTGCCCAGAACCCACAGAGCTCCTGGAGAGCTCAGCCCTGCTGGAGTGTGAGCAAGCCCAGCACTTCCTACACATCTGCAGAGAGATCAGGAGCGGGGAGCTGCCACGTATCCATCCTCAACCAAAAGCTGATGAGCCAAGCCTGGAGCCCGTAACTGCTGTGTATCCCATGAGGACCACTGGCTTTTCACCATCCCCCTGACAGCCACCTGTAAATCCCCCACATCCCCATCCCTGAGGGCTCCATGGGCGATGCTGCACAGCCCCCCCCTCCACCCCCCTGCACCCAGCGCTCACCTCAGCCTGCTGCAGCTCCTGTCCATGTGTCTGCAGTGGGGCAGGAAGGGAGCTGAGCTGGGAGCCGAGCACCACGCCCCGCGTTGTGCAAGCCCCGCGGCTGGGTGATGCTGGCTGTTGGCCAGGGGCAGTTCCAGGTGCGCTGGGCTCTGCCTCCTGCAAAGCACCCGGCACCGCTGCGTGCCAACCTGCTGCGTCAGCCCCAGGTCCTGCCCTGCGTAGGTGCAGGGCGGTGGGACTGAAAGCATCCGGCTCCCACCTGGGCTGCAAAAGTAACAGGGCTAGGAGCAGGGATGGGGTGGTTGTGCCCCCTGCATTGTCCCATGCTGTGGGCCATGCACAGCCCTGTGGATCAAGTCCGTGGGGTCCTGACATGGCATCAGGGTTCCCACCTTCAGCCACTGCAGCATAGCAAGGCAGCCAGAGCTGTGACACCCACACCCCCTTAACACTGCAGGATCCATCCCACCTCATCCAGCTCAGCCCACGGCTGTAAACTCCCACCCCAGCCCCAGCAAAGTACCTGCCCTGCACTGAGGGAAGCAGGGTGGGTCTGGGTAGCTGTGGGAGCGGGGAAACCCATTCCTGGCTGCAGCACTCCTGTATGCTTGGGTCTCAGCTGCAGTGTGTCATGAAGGGAAGGTTTGTTCTGTTCCGAGTAACTGGGTGAGTCTGGCAAACAGATCCGTGTGGTTATTGTCTGTGCACATGCACATACATGCTTGGGTTGAACAACAAAGGCAGGTCAAATCCTGCAGAAGAAGCAATAGAGCCAGATTCCTCCACCAGAAACAGCAGCTCCTCCAGGTGATGCTCTGTGCCCCAGGGCCTCTGAGCACCGAACCCAGCAGCAAACCCAGCCCAGTGCTGATGGGGCTCTCACCATCAGCCCCATCCACACCAGAAGTGAGCCAGGCAACAGCAAGTTAAGAGTCACAGGTTATACAATTATGACCCATTTCTAATACAGTTTGCCTTACTAATGCTTTGGCAAAAGAACATAAATATCTCCAACCTACAGCACCCCACAGACACCACCCTGCTCTGGGTGCTGCTGGGTGAGACCTTTCCCAACACCCAGCACCAACCCAGCAACATGACCGTGCCCCGCTGACCGCGTCCTGCCCCATCCTCGTGGGACCCAGAACGCATCCCTAAGTGGGAGACACCCCTGTCCTATGGGATGCTGGGTCAGACCCTCCCTGTGTGGGCAGCCAAGTGTCACCGAGCGTCCCTGCTCCACCTCAGCCCCATTTCACGCCTCTGCCAACATGGCCGGGGCAGGATTGCATTTCCTCTTGCCTGTGGTTTACCGGCCCTGTGATTCCTGATGGCACCACTCCAGCACAACGAGGCTTTGGGGCCCCCAGGGCACGGTGCTGGGACCCCTCCCAGTGCAGGGCATGGCGGGTGCTCACCGTGCTGTGCTCAGGACACTCGTGGCACACAAGGAGCCGCTCCCTGAGGCGATGGAGCCTTGCTGCATTTTTTCACTCCAGGTCAAGAAGATTTGGTGCTGTGCCAGACTGGGGGCACAGTGGAGAGCGGGAGAGCCCAAGCGAAACCTTGCGTGGTTCCCAGGCATCTCTCCTGTTCTGCTCAGAGAAAACACAGCAGTTCCCAGTGCCAAATCTGGGCCCTTCCTATTTCTATCCCCCCTTAACAGGAGTGTGAGCCAGGGTGATGCTATGCCAGGCACCCACTTCCCCGCTGCAAGCAAAGCCAGGGCCCCTGGAGCCCATCCCTGGCCCTGGGCACCTATCAGCAGGATCAGGAATTTGAGCTATTTTGTAGCAAGCCACAAGTGGATGCAGGAATCTGGGGGCTGTGGCCTAAGAGATAGAAAAAGCAAAGGGAGGAGACGCCAAAAGCCGCCCAGCTGGTCTGGTTTGATCCCCAGGCAGCAACAAAACCTGTGGTCCCAGCAGCCCCTCTGCTGCAATTGGGGCACTTGAGCAGGGGCCGCGTGCCCCACGGCTCTGACACACGGGGAGAAAGTTCAGTGCCTTCTGACATGGGCAGAAGCTTTTGCCCACGGCAGTTGGGTGGGGAAGGAGCACAGCCCTGTGTTGTGCTGCGCTCCGCTGGGTATTTGGGCAGCCACGCCAAAAGCACAGCTCCCATCTGCGGCTGTGCTTGGCCTTCGGATTGCTCTTACTCCTTAGCAGGAAGCAGCCCTGTGTTGTGAATTCGTGCCCACGTGGGAGTGGGATGCTTGGAGTCCCCCCCCAAATCCATCGGCATCCCTGGGAATGCCCCATCCTACAATCAGTACAACATGAACGCAAAAAGCACTCAGTGACTTCCAGTGCGCTGACCCCGGGGCCTCCATAAGGAAGCAATCGAGCTGTGGAGCACGCAGCCTCTGAACACCACCGGAAAAAAACAGATCTCAAAGTCTCCTTAAAAGGGTTTTCAATGGGGTTTGCAAGGCGGAGGTGCCGGGTCATGCAGTGGGGCCAGGTCCTGGCGCTGCCTTTGATCCAACCCAGCCCCGACCTCAGTGCAGCGTGGGAGTCACCAGGGGCGTGGGAGCAGGGAATTGGCCACAAATCAGAGGTTTTGTCCTCAATTCCCAGCAACCAGGCGGGTTTCTGACAGTGACCCTGCTGGGAAGGATGGGCTGCCCCAAGAGGCACTTAAGTCCCACTGCATCCCCAGCTGGGCTGGCATTGGCAATGCTTTAGTTTTAAATGCTGCCTTCCAAAAATTCAGGAGGCTTCTGGGCATCCCTCGCAACAGAGTCCCTGGATGATGATGATGCAAAGTCTAGAAAATAGCCTTTATGATAATATCCCCTGACACCAAGTGCTCTGTGCCCCATGGGGGCACCACTGTCCCTCATTCCCAATTCCTGCAGTGCCATTTGGGGCAATCTCAGCTCCCTTTGGTGCAGAGCACAGGCACACAGCTGAAGGAACAAGATAACCACACCGATGTCTTTCCAGCCACCACCAAACCCCAGCCTGGATGGTGCAAGGTTTTGCAGAGCTGCTGCAATGCTTGCTGTAGGCAAGATAACGCAGCACAACAACAGCAGCACCTGGACAGTCAGGTCCTGCACTAGGTGACTGCTGCTTTGATGCATGGAAGTGGGGCAAGGATGTTTGGATGCGGGCTGGGTTGAGCTGGATGTGTCCCATCCCAGCAGGGATTATGGCTTTCAGCTGGGAAACACCTCTGGCTTTTGCTCTGAGAGGACAGCCTTGATCAACAGCAGCCAACTGTGCTGTAAATCGAACAGCCCAGCCCTGTGCTCCAAAGAAGAGGTGAGGGCTTAGCACAAGGAGCAGCTTGAATCCCCTGGCATAAAGATCTCAGCAAGGAACATTATCCACAGCAACGAGAAGACAGAGATCAAAACAGTTTCACTTAAAAGAGATGGAAGGAATCCACTCATACACACCATCTGCCACCATCACCCCAAGGGTGTCCAAACTGTTTGTGCCACGTGCCAGCAGGGACCCAGGAGGCAGAGACCCCCCTGTGCTCCTCCATCACCCCCATCCTCACAGGGCAAACCCACACATCATTCCCACGGGGGAACACAGCATCTCCTGCCCCCTGCACATCACAGCTCAGCTCTGCAGAGCTGTGGGCTCAGGGTTAATGAGCTCAGACCTGCTGCAAAGTGGAAGCAGCTGCACAGAGAGGTGGCCGAGCAGAGCCCTGCAGTGCAGGGCTGGGCAGGAGAGCCCCCTGTGTGCCTTTTCTCTGCAGCAAACACAGCAAGCACTGGGGCTTTCTGTGCACACGGAAAAAATAATAATTGCACCCTCTAAATACAGCGAAACCAGTAACAGATCGAGCCGCTTGTTCAATGTTAATGTTACTTATGAGTGCATTCGCCATGAAATTATTGTTAATTATTCATTCCAGCTAATGTTCAGTTACTGTTGATGGCCTTAGAAATTGCAGAGCAGCCTGAGTCACGGCAGAACGCGACATATTACAGCAATAAACGAGATCATACTCTGCCATTTAATGTTATTGTTTAATCAATGGCTGGGGTGTTTTTCCTCTCCTTTATTTGGCTGCTTTGCTCGGGTGTTTTTCTCCAGCCCACAGCAGGCTCCTTGCCCTTGTGCTTCGTGGCTGTGGCTGCTGTACCAAGAGCAGCATTGCTCACAACCGGCTCCAGAGCTGCTCGGTGCCTTTCCAGGGGCAGCACAGCCTTCGTGCCCCTCGTTGGCATGAGATCTCCCCTGCAGTTTTGCGCCCAAAAAGCAGGAGAGCATCACTTAGAGACAGAAATATTTATTTGCTGCAAAGATACACTCAGGACCCAATGAGGCACTGAGCTGAGACAGGCTCAGTGCATGGCACAGAGCTGCTTGCCCCTCAACTTGCGGTACCCGCTGGTTCATCTTGCAGCACCTGCTCTTACCCTAAATCCACCAGAACGATGCGAACTGCCTTGCCTTGAGGAGGGGAGAAGCTCCATGGTTGAGCCACCCCAGTGCTCCCACGATGGGGACTTGGGATGGTCCCATCTGGAGCAGGATCTTGGGCAGACAGTGCTCCAGAAGCCCTAGGAAGGACTCTTCTCCTGCTCGGGCAGTGTGGTGGGGATGGAGGTTGTAGGGATGGAGGCTGTGGGGATGGAGGTTGTAGGGATGGAGGTGGTAGGGATGGAGGCACTGGGGGCTTTGTATCCCACCCCATGGAACACCTGTCCCTCTGTGCTTGCAGGCTCGGCACAGTCATGGCTGTTCCGGTGGCTCTCCCTGGTGCCAGCCTGCAGGCGCTCCCGACACCGCTTCCCAATCAGGTAGGCAGCCTCCACCAGGCTGAGCACGATGCAGATGCAGGTGGTGACCACCATGAAGAGGGTGAATATAGTCTTCTCAGTGGGCCGGGAGATGAAGCAGTCCACGACGTTGGGGCAGGGGGGCAGCTGGCACTTCACCAAGCGGGGCAGGGTGTAGTTCCTATAGAAGCGGTAGAAGATGTAGAGGAAAACCAGGTCCACGCCAGCCTTGATGATGAGGCTGAACAGGTACGTCCACCACAGCCCGCCTCGCTTCTTGCCGGGGTTGGGGAAGCGGGAGCGGTATCCGTCCCCCCGCTCGGCGCGGTGCTGCTGAGCCTTGGCCTCGCGGTAAGCCACGTGCATGATGACCAGCAGCGAGGGACAGGTGACCAGGATGAGCTGCAGGGCCCACAGGCGGATGTGGGAGACGGGGAAGAAGTGGTCATAGCAGACGTTGGTGCAGCCCGGCTGCCGCGTGTTGCAGTCAAAGTCTTTGTGGTCGTCGCTCCAGACGCGCTCGGCTGCCACTACGTAGACCAGAAGGCGGAAGATGAAGACGAGGGAGAGCCAAATGCGGCCGAAGGCTGTGGAGTACTTGTTGACCCCGCTGAGCAGCCCCTCGAACACTGACCAGTTCATGGTCTCCCGGTTCTGTTAGCTGCTCTGGGAAGAGAGAGGAGACACAGTGAGGGGCCATCTCTGCAGCACCGGGAGGTCCCCACCGTGTGCCCCGTGGCACTGAGCCGTGCTCCCACCTGGGCGCCCTCAGGGACAGCCACTGCCCTTTGCTCGCTCTGAAGTATCCTCTGCCAAACACCATCCCCACCTGTGGGGTCTGAGGACCCAGCAAAGCCTCAGGAGCAGCATCCTCCAGCCACTGCTCACCGCGATCTGTGCCCGGTTCAGCCTGTCCCCATCCCACTCTGCCCTCCCCATTTCTCACCTCATCACCCAGGTATTTGTTATTATTTTTTTCTTACGCTACCAGGCATGGCACGACAAATAGGAGCAGGCTGGGGTGTGACTCATCCGCGGCTCCACCGCTGTGTCCTCTCCCACCGCTGGAATCCGACGTCTCCTCCACTCCCCCCACCCCAAAGCACAGGAGGAGCCTGACATCAACTCAGCAGTGCTGCCCACGCACCAGGGCAGGCAGCTCCTGTGAGCTGGTGTGGCACGGCATACCATGGGATGGCACGGCATGGGACAGTGCCTTATGGCACGACGTGGTATGGCACATTCTGCCATGGCGAGTGGACACCATGCAGTGGGCTTGGAGGGGCTGCTCAGCCCCTGGCAATGCAGAGTCACTGCTCTGGTGGTCTGGGTGCCCATCATCACCAGTTGGCAGCAACTCAGCCCATTCCATCCCCAGGACCCAGAGCAGTTCTGTTTGACCCCAGCTTGCATTGAGCCCAATACGCACATCCCACACGGAAGGGCACAATTCCCAGTGCTGCTTTTGGGACCGACTCTCCTTAAACACTTCATTTATCAACAAAATAAGAACATTTCCCTTTGCTGGCAAAGCAACACAGGCTCCACTGCTCTGTGCGGTCTATGCTGCCCTACCAGTGCTCCCCATGCCCATACCTCCCATGGGAGCCAGAGCTCCCTGCATCCCCCCATGGGGTTGACTGAAGGCACGGATGCAGGACTGAGGATACACAACACCACCCAGTTTTTGCCTTTCCCAAGCAAACTGACAGCAGCAGCCCAGGGTGCACAGTCACACACTGCAGTGTGGGGCTCAGCTGCGTGCACCCACACTGAGAGCATTCCCCATCCCACACCACCAGAGCCCCCAGCACCCGGGGCTGCCCCTTACCTGGGGACGTCCCGCAGAGGCCGGGTCGGTGCTCGCAGGGCAGGAGCGCATGGCAGGGTGTGCGGGGTGTGAGTCAGCGCGGGGCTCCTGGGAGCGAGGAGGAGATTCCCGGGGGCAGGGGTTGGCTTCGAGGCAGCTCCCTGCGTGCTGCGTTGGGTCACACTCTGCCTGCACTGCAGGAAGGGCTGGAACACTGCAGGGATGTACTCAGGGCACCTGGATAACCGGGGGACGCTGGGGTGTCCCAGTGCAGCCGGTGCTGCTGTTCCACCACGTGGTTCTTACTGCTGCCCCTGCCTTCTCTTGCTCGGACCCCCAGGGGCTGCTCCAAAATCCTCCCCAGATGGGGACCCGATCCCACGGCAGTGCAGGGACTGCCTGGGTGCTGCATGCAGTGCCAGAGCACAGGTAGGGCCGACACCATTTGAAGAGCAAATAGATGCTTCATTTGCAATTCCGCTGGGTGTTAAAAAAGGAAAAAAAAAAAAAAAGAAAGAAAGAAAAAAAAAAAGTAGAGAAACAAATCTAAACAGCTGTAAAGTAAATTACCACTGTTTGCCGATGGCTCCAGGGAAGAGTTCTGCAGTTTGAAATCAAACAAGCCCTTTTTTTTTTTTTTCAAAGCATCAGAGTGACAGCGGTGACGGGAGGGGGGTTTCCAGGTTCCCCTTTAGTGATGGAGGCAATCCAAAGGGGCTCTCACTGCTTGCCATTTCGGGGCCCAAATCATCCTTTTTTGGGTACATCGGGGTGACGCGTGCTCCCCGCTGCCTCTCCCACTTCCATTTGCCAAAGAGTTCAGACTTGCAGAGGCACAGAGGTGCCAGAAGCTGCACCCAGCCCAAGGGGAGCAGCTCGCCCAGGCGGGTCGGCACACAGAGGTGTGTTAATGGCAGCACTCCGTCTTGCAGGAAAAAGCCCCATTAGAACACTTTCACTACAACGTGAAATATTAATAATGCTTTGCATTTATATAGTGTCATTCATCTCGGAGTCACTCGCCGAGCTCCTGACATGAATCACACCGCAGAGTGAGCTCTGCAGGGAGATGGCTGGATGGGGCTGTGCCCGTTTCCCTGCTGCACACACTGAGGACGGCTCTTCCCCAGCCCTGTGCAGCTCTCCAGCTTTGCAGAGCTCCTCGATGCCATCTTTTTGCTGCCTGGGTTTTCCATCTGAAAAGCTTGATTTTTTTTTATTTTTATATAGTAAAGTCAAGCTGGGGTGGTGAGGAGGGGCTGCTGCATGAGGTGGGGCTGCGGGGGAACCCACAGCAAAACAGCATCTCCAACATGACCAGAGTGTTCCTATGGCACAAACCGTGGCAGAATGCTGAGGAGAGGCTACTTTCATCATATTAAAGAGCCTTATATTTAAAACCCTTCTTCAGATCCATAGCACAAGATGATTGCAAAGGCTTTTACACACTAACGCAGCAGGAATCACTCCTGCTTTCAGCGATGTTGATGCAGATGCTGTTTAGTAGGGCAGAATCCCATTATTGATGCTGGATAAATACAGCAAAGGAGCTCTGGGAGCAGTGATGGAGCTGCTGTGCACGGCGTAAGGCTCGGTGCTCGTGGTGTTCTCTGCTCTCCAGCAGCCAGCAGGAGGGGAGCAGTGGTGGGGAACAAGGGCTGTGTTCTGCTTTGGAAGCCCAGGTCCTGGGAGCAGAGAGCGGGCATGACTCCATGCAGCAGTGCTGCCTGTGCCCAACATGTTTGCTATGCAAAGAAGAAGGCACTTTGTTTGCAGACAATTAAAAAACCAAACAGATTAGTGCAAACCAAACAAACCGAGCAGGCTGAGTGTTGGCTGAACTCCTGGGAAAGTCACTCGAGTATCCAGAGCTGTTGCAGGTAACACAAACAGCAGTGTGCCCTGTGCCCAGCCCTGTGCTGGGATGCTCACCCCCCTCTTGGTGCATGGGAAGCACCAGGGCAGCCCCAGCTCTGCAGGAAGGGACACCTGGGCTTCCTACCCCATGTAACAGGTTGTGTTCTGCTCAGATCTGGGGAAGGAGGAATCCTGCAATGAAAGGAAGGATGGTAAGAAGGGGGCATTGCTAATGAGACCAACAGCAATTAAAGCATCTTCTGGAGCAGCAGTGGGGTGAGGGCACTGTGCTAATGAGGAGGGGCAGAGGCACGAAGGTGCAGGGGTTCAATGAGCAGCATTTTGCAGCTGTGCTGTGGCCCCATTTCTGCAATGGTAAATGCCAGGGCACAGCCTGGTAGCGGCCGTTCAACGTGGCCAGTTCCCATTAATCTGCTAATATTTATAAGCGTGGCTGGAGGGAGTAACCTCATTTCTAGCAAGAGCTTAATTAATCATGGAATCAAACTGACTGAATGGGATGGTGTGGAGATAAATCTGCATGGTTGCTTGTAGCCAAGGATGGAAGACAGGACCTGAATCACAGCAGCTGATAGCGATGAGTGCAGAGGAGGGCACAATGATGGTGAGGAAGAATGGGCCATGGACAGCCCTCAAATCCCAAAACCCAAGTGGAGAGGAATTAGGGGCCTGGGATGCTCTCCAAACAGGGGCAACGCGTAGCACTGAGGAACATGGTGCAGCTGGCATGGTGAGGTTGGGTCGATGGGTGGACACGATGATCTTAGTGATCTTCTCTAACCTTAATAATTCTATTAATCTAACTCAGCCTTCAGATCCTGCTGCTTGCCACAGAGGGGCTGGGTTATTTCTGTGTTGGGTCTTTTGGCAAAATAATCATCATGCCAGTAATATCTCTGCCCTTGCTGCTGACCTTGGCAGTGTTCGGATGGATGACCCGCAGATCAAAGTCTTTATATCCTATTACCAGCCTCCTGAGTCATGCCTGTCCCCTGGCAAGTCATATTATTTTGAAATGGCAGCTAAATGGGAAAGAGGTCGTGCTCCCAATACAGTGACAATAGGACATGACAGCAGTTTTCTGAGTGATTAAGCCTCAGGTGATGTTGGGGCTCCCAGACAAGTGGCTGAAAACTGAAAGATTTTAATCACTCTGGACGTGTCATTGTATCCTCACAATCCATCCTGCCGGGGTGGGCTTGTATGGCAAAATGGAAGTAATAGAAAAAATAATCAAGTCTAACCTGTGCACCAACCAGTTAGTTACCCAGGCTGCAGGTACTGCCATTAATAACCAGCTGGAGCAGCCTGCTGGCCCTCAGAGAGCATTCAGCAATAAATCAGTGCTGGTGCCATGGTGCAGAGCGCAGGGACTGGCTGTGCAGACGCTAGATGGCATTGGAAGAACGCGCCGTGCAGTGCCGACAGCTTCCCTGGAACAATCTGGCAAAGCAGAGCAGAAAACTCAGGATGACGGAGCAGAAAATGTCTGTGCCTGGGCAGGGATGGCAGCTCACCTCCAGCCCTTGCACCAACCTTGCGACGGCGCGGCTGTCCGGGGAGCTGTGCTGCATGCTTTGATGCTGAGCTAACACAGGACCCGTTCCTGGCATTCTTTATTCTCCCAGGAGCTGCAGGTTAGACCCTGCACAGTTGTTGCCCCCCACCTGCTGTCTGGGGGCTCTGTTGGTTTCCACAGGCTCTTCATTGGGGATGTTACTCCAGATCGCTCTGCTCCAAGTGTACTGCAGCCCCTGCACTGGAGGGGCCACTGCAGACCTCATCCATGGGCTCAGTGCCCAAACGTCTGCTTGCAGCCCCGCTTCCATCCCAGGGTCTGGGGGTGGTTCTGGGCACCGTCCCGCAGCAGTGCCTGCACAAACCTCTGTGTGTGAGACAAGGGCAGCAGGCACACAGCCCTGTGCATGAGCCCTGTGTGCCGGCATCGCCGTTTCCAACAGCTGGGAGCAGTCAGGCTCTTTCCTCTTCCAACTGCTTCCCATCACCTGTCAGCCTCCTCCCGCACTGAGCAATCAAAGGGACAACGTCTCCTCTCCTACACTCCCCCAAATCAACTCCTGAATCCCCGCTGAGCTGAGCTGACTTTTGCATTTTGTCTCCTAAATTATGCATCGCACAGGAAGTCGAACAGCCACAATATGCCTCTTGATTGCAGCTCGCTCTCTTCCAGCCGACCCAGTGCTCTCAGCCCATCTCCCCAGCACAGTGGCAGCAGGCAGATGGCTCAGCCCCACTCACAGCCCAGCAGCTGCCTTCACATCCCCTCCCATAGGTGCTCCAAAGGCCCCTGGCCTTCTGGAAAGGGGCTGCTTCAAAGCAGGCTCCTGGTGAGAGCTGTTAGGGCCATGTCACAGCATTCTTCCAAAGGCTGAAAGCTTTCTCATCCTCAAAAGAAAATACCAGACCAAAATCCCCTTCACCTCCACTTGGCTTGCCAAGCCCCCTGGACAGCAGAATTCATGAACTGAACTCTGAAAAGGGCCCAGACTTGGCTTGAAGCAAGAGATTGTGCACCACCGTGTCTTAAAATGTCAGCACTTTAATTAGCCGCCATCTGAAGCTGGCGTGGGTTTGTCTGGAAAATAGCTAGCAAACTGTTTTGCCCCTTTCCAGTTTTAGTCTGGGCTGAGAAATTTGCTCAAGCTGACCTTTTGCCTGCTGGATCTTCCAGATTCCCATTTCATATTGGCATTTCCTAAAATTAGGTGAAAATAGCCCCCCAGAATATCACTAGCCAAAGGTTTTTTTTTTCCTTTCAGCTCTTTTGGATGCTGCTACCAGGTCACCTTCACGTAAAAGGAAAAGCCACAGTTAAAGTTATCCAGATGGAGGTGTTGCCTCCTTGCAGGCTTTTAGTGCTCCAGATAAATCTCCAGCCTTACCCACCCTTTATATTTTGGGCTTTTTTTTTTTTTTTCTTTTGTACCTGTAAGGCTGCCAGAGTCATTACTTCCACTCCAGGATAATTTCTTGCTCTGAAGGATACTGAATTCCTTCACAATTTGCTGACCAGCAGCGCATGCTCTCCAGGTGGGTTCTGTATTGGATTTCCACTGCTGGAGCTTTGAGCCTCCCTTACAATTGCACATGTGGCAAATCAATGAAGTCAAAGCCAGAGGAAGTGCCTGAAAAACCACATGGAAGTCAGAGCCCCATAGTGGCTGCTGGCTTTGGAACTCCTGGTGCTGAGGCAGCACAAAGCCTCCAAGGCTCTGATGGCACAGTGATCCAGGACACACACCACCAAAAGCACTGCCTATGGCTCTGAGCCATCCCTAATTACTGAGGCAATTACCACCTGGCATGAAGTAGCTCAACATGGCTCTTGTGGTGAT